CACAGTATGCCTTATTGCCTTATAACAGGGGTCTTCATACTGGCCCCTTTTAAGATTTGTGGACTTCAACTCCCAGAATTCCTCAGCCAGCATGCCTGGCTGAGGAATTCTGGGAGTTGAAGTCCACGAGTCATAAAAGGGCCGAGTTTGAAGACCCCTGGCCTAGGGAATCTTGGGTATTGAAGTCCAAACGACTTAAAGTTGTCAAGGATAAGTATTGTGTATCAAAGCCTGAGTTGTGCTTTCCGAACTTGGCTTGAAAATGACTCTCAGAGAAAAACAAGGAGAGAAAAAAAATCTTTCTCCTTCCTGTTGATTTGCAAGTTTCTTTTATTACTGGTAAAGCTTCCTGGAGTTAATCTTATCAGTCTGCAGTGAAAATGTTTGCTTAAAAAATGACAAGTCAAATTCTGCCTTATGACCACTTTCCATTACGTCAAAAAGTGAACCTCCAGAGCAAACAGACCCAGTAAAGGATGAATGATAAGACAAGGTACAAGGTGGATAACCTGGATAAGATTTTCCGAGCATGGACCTACCTTCTCACAAATTAATTCTCACTTTTTCTCCAGATTTATACAATTGTATAAATCACAGAGCCGAAGTAACTTTCTTGTCCCATGGCAGGAAGGCTCCGATATGGTGGTGATCAAAGGACAACATTGAATTCTCCCCTGTCAATCAGCTGAAGGGTTGACAGTGATTATTTTACGACCTATTGTTGTTAAGCCAACTGCAATTGTTATGTGAATTGGGTCCTCACATTTACAATTGTCCCCATGGTTGTGTGATTAAAATACAGACGCCTGTCAACTGGCATGTGTTTATGACATCCTGGGGTCATGTGACCATCATTTATGATCTTCCTGCAAGCAAAGTCAATGAGGGAAGCCAGACTCATTTAATGACCGTGTGATTTGTTGAGAGACTGCAGTGATTTGCTTAACCCAGGGCTCTTCAGACTTGGCCCTTTTATGACTCGTGAACTTCAACTCCCAGAATTCCTGAGCCAGCATGGCTCAGCTTGGAAACCTCTCCCTTTCTCCTCAGCATGGCTGGCTCAGGAATTCTGGGAGTTGAAGTCCACGAGTCATAAAAGAGCCAAGGTTGCCTACCCCTGCACTATGGCAATAAAGTCATAAAGTTGGGCATAATTCACTTAACAACCACCTTGATTTGCAGTGGAAATTCTGTTCCCACTTATGGTCATAAGTCTGGATCTTGTAATTCTGGTACCATACAAAATCAAGCAGGCTTTCTCTTGAGTTTCTTTCTCACCCTTCCCTGTTTCTCGGGACCGTCTCATCTTTTCTGCAAGCCTCCCCTTAGCAACTTCCTCTCTTACCCCAAGTTCAATTCCCCATTTGCTCAGAGATGCTTCTGAGAACCAGCAGAGGTGCTAAAACATGGTTTAAACAAAATGCTTCCTCGTAGTTGGGGAAATCCCAGCTTTCAATAAAATATCATTTTTCAGGGCTACTGAGCATCTGGGGGGGAAGGAAGCAAAAGGGAGGAGGTCATGATGAACCATGCATTGCAACATTATGATGGAAACTGTATGATTTATGTTCCATGTTCAGTGTTGAGAGACAAGCTTTTCTCATCCGTTCATCATGATGGTTTGCAACTATGCTGGAAGTGACAATAGGTGAGGAAATACCCACATGATTTGTCAGTTCACAGTTGCAGCATCCTGGGGTCATGTGTTCATCATTTGTGACATTCCTATCTGTTATCTGGCAAGCAAAGTCAATGGGGGAAGCTGGATTCACTTAATGACCATGGGCTTCACTTAACAACTGCAGTGATTTGCTGAACGGTGGCCAAACAAGTCATAAAATCCGGGCACAACTCACTTAAAACCAGCTTGCTTAGCGAAAGAAATTCTGACTGCAATTGTGGTTGCAAGTTCAACCTGTATGCCCTCAATGTTTTTTTAGATAATTGTGAATTCAATGTTGGAAACATTATTATTATTCTTTAAAGATGTGAAAGCGTTCCTCAATTATCTATAAAAAGTGAGGAATCTTTCATTGTACAAATACAATGTATAATACAATGGATGTATTATAGATGGAATAGGAAAGAACGGGATTATTCAACATTGGAACATTTAGAAGTCCTCCAGATTGCCTTCTTGGAAGAGCAAACTTGATCCATTTTCAGAATAACAGAGTTGGGAGGGACCATGGAGGTCATCTAGTCCAACCCCCTGTTCAGGCAGGAAACCCTATACCATTTCAGACAAATGGTTGTCCAATCTCTTCTTAAAAACTTCCAAGAAGCAGGTTGTTCCACTGATTAATTGTTCTCACTGCCAGGTAATTTCTCCTTAGTTCTAGGTTGCTTCTCTCCTTGGTTAGTTTCCATCCGTTGCTTCTTGTCCTGCCTTCAGGTGCTTTGGAGAATAGCTCGACTCCCTCTTCTTTGTGGCAGCCCCTGAGATATTGGAACACTGTTATCATGTCATCCCTGGTCCTTCTTTTCACTAGACTACATATACCCAATTCCAGCAACCATTCTTCATATGTTTTAGCTTCCAGTCCATTAATTCACACAGTTATGAAGTGGCAATTTATCAAGATAATAAAAAGACTGATGACTATGATAGCATGTATTGAATGTTTAATTACATATGTTAACTTTTTTTGATGGACCAATTACATGCCATTTAGTTGTTGTCAACGCTTATGAACCACACAGATAGAACAGTGACAATATTCAGAATACAGATGCTAAGAAGATATAGAGCTGCGTTTCTCAAACTTGATCATTTTAAGAGGTGCGGACCTCATGTCTCAGAACGATGGGACTTCTGGGAGTTGAAGTTCACACAGCCTCGAGTTACAGAAATGATGATGTAGACGCAGTGTTTCTCAACCTTGACAATTTTAAGCATGTGGACTTCAACTCCCAGAATTCCACAGCCAGCATTGCTGGCTGTGGAATTCTGGGAGTTGAAGTCCACATGTCTTAAAATTGTCAAGGTTGAGAAACACTGATATTTGTAGAGAGTGATCAAATTGCCATTAATTCCACTAAAAAAAATATTTTCAGAGGGGAACTTTGTATGTCCTCTTCTATAATTTTTATCTCAGTGGACTCCTCCCTCCATAGACGGTCGCTACTTCTCACCAATTGCTGCCAAATACTTCCTGTGAAAACATTATAGAGGTTTCATTGGTGGGCTTTGCCACTGCAATTAAAACTCTGCATGGTTTCAGATGGAGACAGCGAGTCCCTCTGAAGGGATGCATGCCTATGTTTTTTTCTAGAAATAAGACACAACGGAAACTAGATTGTCTTTTTGGCATTTGAGGATAACTCTAAAATATTCTCTCTATAGAAGGAAAGAGAGCACCGCTCCTCCTCTGTCACGTGATGAAAGCAAGCTCGGAGGGGAGGAGCTATTTTCTGATCACTGTAAAGGGAAGGTTAAATCAAGAGAAACACACTTCAGGTTTCCAACCGAAAGTCTTTTAAATCCAATACAGCAAGGGGTCTTCAAACGTGGCCCTTTTATGAGTTGTGGACTTCAACTCCCAGAATTCCTCAGCCGGCGTGCCCGGCTGAGGAATTCTGGGAGTTGAAGTCCACGACTCCTAAAAGGGCCAAGTTTGAAGACCCCTGCAATACAGTAACCCTTCTGAGACATCAAGCAGAATAGAAAATATATTGCACTAGCAGTCTTCCAGTATCTCAGCAGCTGCCACAGAGAAGAGGGGGTCAATTTATTCTCCAAAACACCTGAAGGCAGGACAAGAAGTAACGAGTGGAAGCTTCTCAAAGAGAGAGCCAACCTAGAACTACGGAGAAATTTCTTGACAGTGAGAACAATTAACCAGTGGAACGACTTGCCACCAGAGGTTGTGGGTGCCCCAACACTGGAGGTTTTTTAAGAGGAGACTGGACAACCATTTTGTCTGAAATAGTGCAAGTAGTCCTCAGCTTATGATCACAATTGAGCCCAAAATTTCTGTCACGAAGTGAGACAGTTGTTAAGTGAATTTTGCTCCATTTCATACTCAGCATCCTCATGATTGTGAGATCAAAATTCAGACGCTTGGCAATTGACTCATATTTATGATGGTTGCAGTGTCCCGGGGTCCCATGATCCCTTTTTGCGACCTTCTCACAAGCAAAGTCAATAGGGAAACCAGATTCGCTTAACAACCGTGTTACTAACTGATCAACTGCAGTGGATTCACTTAACAACTGTGGCAAGAAAGGTTGTAACACGGGGCAAAATTCACTTAGCTGTCTCACTTAGCAACAGAAATTTTGGGCTCAATTGTGGTCGTAATTGAGGACCACCTGTATGATTTGACAGGGCCACACAGAACATATTCATTTCTCAAATGCTCTGGGGAAATTCTGAGGTAAATTTTCAGTCGTAATAGAGACTGTAACCATTGCTACCTTATTACATTATTTCTCCCCCCTCCCTATATTACTTCCCAAGTCAGAGAATTTTAAAAAGGAACGGGGAAAAGATTGTTACCGTCTTAAAAACAATAAAAACAATTAAGAACATTCATTATTATAACTTAAAAAAAAAAAAAAGAAACTGGGAAAAAAAAAAGAAAAAGGGAATCTCGTTCCGCGCACGCGCATTGCCTGCGTGACGGCGCGCGGTCGACCTCGCGCCGGAAGTGAGGGCTCGTTCTCCGGCTCGGGTGGTGGTGGTGGTGCTGGGGGAAAACGAATCACACGCCGAGGGGCGGGGCCGAGCTTTGAAAGAAGAGGAGGGGTCAGTTAATTGGCGACGTCACGTGATTCGGAATGGAGGTGGCGGCGGCGGCGGCAGCAGCTGAGGCGAACATCTTCCTCAGGAGTCGGCGGGGGCGGCGCTGCTGTTGCGGCGGCCGCGGCTGCTAGTCCAGGCGAAACGGCGGCCGCGACGACGACGGCGGCAGCCGCCTGAGGCGAGCGACTGTTGCCGGGGACGGACGCGGCGGTGGCGGCGGCGGCGGTCTCCGCCATGGACTGAGGGGACCGCGATGGGCAACAAGGAGTCGCGCATCGGCTTCCTCACCTACGACGAGGCCCTGCGGAGGGGTGAGTGGAGGGCGGGCCGCCGAGGAGGCGGGTATGCAAACGAGTTCTGCGAGCGCTCTGATTGGCTCCGGCGGCGGGCATGCTAATGAAATATGTAAATGAGAGGAGAGAGAGAGAGAGACGGAGGGGCGCCGGGTTGGCAGGGAGCAGCGACCTCTCCTTGGGGGAGGGGCTAAGCTAAGGAGGCATGCGAAAAGGGGGAGGAGCTTTGGGAGAGTGGAGGGGCTGCTTCTCGCCCCCTGGTGATGGGGTACAGGTCCCATCATCCGCGGCCAGCCTGGCTAGGGTCTTCTTAGGGGGGTCTCCAGGGGTGGCAACATGGCAGACTGGCAGCTGAGATGATGGGAGGTGGAGATTTAACCTTGCTGGAGCCCATCAGGTGGGGAGGGGTGGCTGAGAAGCAGTGGAGATGGAGGGGGGCTGGGGGGGGCTGACTCTGGGGCAGCCATGGGGAAGGACTGGGGTGGCTTAAGGCAGCATTGCTGGAGAGAGAGAGAGAGAGAGAGAGAGGCTGGAGTGTTTGGCATCTCCTTATGTGAAATAGTGAGGGGGCCTGACCTGTGGTCCTCTGTGGATGTTGGGGGGTACAGGGGTACCATCACTGCTCTGCAAGGGGGGGGTTGTGGATGGGTATAGACAATTATCCCTCTTTGTGGTTGGAGCTGGTTAAAGCAGTGGTTCTGAACCTGTGGGTCGGGACCCCATTTGGGGTCGATCGACCATTTCACGGGGGTCGCCAAGCAAGGCTGTCCGCCATTTTTTTGTCTGCCATTTTTTTTGTCCGCCATTTTTTCCCCTTTTCCGGAGGGGGCCTTACCTCCCTTGGGCTGGGCCAGCTGGTGGTCGGCCTGCTCCATCTCTGCCGCTTGCCAGCTACGCCTCGGCCGGCGCAGGGGGCGGAACCACGCATGCGCGGCGCTCCCGGGCAGGGAAAGTCCTCGACTTACGACCGGTTTTATTTATTTATTTATTTATTGTTTATATTTATATCCCGCCCTTCTCCTTACGGACTCAGGGCGGCTAACAACCAGATAAAAATACAAAATACCATTCGATGTCTAATTTTGAACTAATTTTCTGTTTATAATTATTAACCAGATTCATTAAATTTTAATAAAATTTTGGGGGTGATTTTTAAAAGGGGATCCGGTCAGGGCGTTCGACCTTATTGGTACAGAATTCCCGCGCCGCCTTCCTTCCCTCTACAGGGATCACCCTGATCTCTGGGGGTAGTTCATTCCAGAGGGTGCGCGTGCGCGGAACGAGATTCCCGGTTGGGTAGTCCTTGACTTACGACCGGTTTAGTCCTCGACTTACGACCGGTTTAGTCCTCGACCTACTACCGGTTGGGGTCACGGCATTAAAAAGGTTGAGAACCACTGGGTTAAAGCTTGGAGATTCTCCATCATCCAGGTTAGCGTTGTTCCAAAGGTGCTTTTCTAAAGGCAATTGGACTTTCTTGGTTTTTTTCTCCTTGAAAATGTTTGGCTTCTCATCCATTCAGTTGAATTCTTCAGTTCCGGAGAAGCTTCTTGGATGAGAAGTGAAATGTTTTCAAGGGGGAACAAAAAAGTCCAGTTGCCTTTTGGAAAAGTGCCTTTGGGACATATTTACAGAACGGCTAACAACACACCTTAGGCTGTAACTTCAAAGCTAAACAGAGACCAGGATTAAGGTTGCCATGGTGTGGTGTGCCTGTTGAGGGGTTGGACCTGCCCCTCTTCAGGGGTTTATGGGGTGGGGAGTGATTATAGATGTTGATTAGGTCTTGGAATGAAGCTCACATAGCCGAGAAGCGAACATGATTGATGACATCTTAGGAAATGGAGGGTTTATTGCTCAGAGGAGGACTGAGATAAAATACTTGTACAGATACTGGAAAGGGCTAGGCATTCATATATATGTTAATTACTCATATTTTATATGCTCGGTGTACTGGAGAGTATAGAACAGATCTTGCAGTGATTTCTGTCGTCTGTATAGTAAAGTCCCTTGGAAGAAAATCTCTTTAATCTGGTATTTGCTTGCTTGTTTGTTTTATTGGTGGTTATTATTGGTTGCTTGTTAACAGGGTTACTAGCTGTCGATGGAATATTGGGAGATCACATCTAATAAAAAGTACTTAAAAGCACACAAATAATCTAGGTGCCTTATAACAGGCCATTATAAGAGCAGCATAATCTTAAGAACTGGCTGCTCAGTATTCTTGTTTCCTCTTTTCTTCTCTACTTGTTTTCCTTGTGTGTCATTTCGTTTTTATGCTGTGAGCTAAGCCTGCGGGCACAGACTGTCTCCTTTTGTTTATCTTTTAGCCCCTCTGCAAGCCGGTTTCTCACCCTGGGGATAGACATGCTTTCAATACACCCATCAGTAATGATCTGTGGAGGTTCACAAGGATAAAAGTGTGGCGATGGTGGTGGTCTGGAGGTTCTTGAGATGATAAATGGCGGTTGAGCCTGGAGGAGACGAGGCACCGAGGGCAGGCCATTACATTGCATTAACAGAATAACTGAATAACAGCGTTGGAAGGGATCTTGGAGGTCTTCTAGTCTGATGCAATTCAGGGTCCGGGTTTCAGGGCCTGGCTGCAAATGACCTTCCCTCCAGCTGGTGCTTTTAAGAATGTTCAAGAGGTAACTTGAGGTTAGAATTGGGGGAACTGAGGATTTCATTAAGGGGCCCCATGCCAAATAATCCCAGTCATGGAGACACCATGAGGCTGCAGGCTGAGTGGATTGACTCACAGGTGACATTGTAGCCGCGGATGAGAGGAAACACTGGCTCCCTGTTGGCCCAGGTGGGTGGCTGTTGTGTCATTCCAGGATGGAGTGTTCCAGCTTGATAGCCATAGCAGTTACTAAGCAGCCTGAGAGGAACAGGCTAATTTTGCTTTGGGGGGGCGGGCTGGAGGCTCTGTGTGGGCATTGTATCAAAAGCAGAAGTCCAGCTTGAACCTCCCTGCTGGGGGATGACGATCCTGGAAGCAAGGGGACTGGCAGGAAGGTCGGGTAAAAGTGGGTGAAGCGGATATGGTATGATGGACCACCAGTTCATAACAGATATAGCGGGGGATATTGCTGGATGGAGATGGGGATAAGGGTGTGTGTGTGTGAAGAAAAAAGGGATAAGTGAAAAAAGGATATAGAAGAGATAGAGAATGGAGTGTTGGAACACGACTGGTGAGAAGGCTTATCATCCTACAGGGATGTCCCTATAACTCAGGGGTCCCCAACCCCCAGTCTGTGGACCGGTACCGGGCCACGGCATGCCAGCAACCGGTCTGCACAAACAAGCAAAGCCCCATCTGTGGGGTGCAGGCAGCACACAAACCACGCACCCTCCAGTCCGTGGAAAAATCTCTCTCCATGGAACCGGTCTCTGGTGCCCAAAAGGTTGGGGACCTCTGCTATAACTGAATTCTGGAGCCATGGCTTATCGTGGAGAAAGACAAAGTCCCTCTACAGATTGCCTTTGGGCTGTCCCTTGCAGGCACCAGGGCCTGGAGCAGTTCAGCCTTGTGTTTATTTTTATTTATTAAACAAACTTATATAGCCACCCAACTCACACATAGGTGACTCCGAATGACTTACAACATTTTTAAAATCCACCATAGAATAAAAACCCATAAACACGTACACATACCCCTCCCCCATAGCAGCAGCATCACAATCAAATCAGCCACTTGATGGGGGTCTATGTCCATTTGGGGTCCTCTGACCCACTGACAAAACCACATTTTTAGGGCCTTCCGGAAAAGCAACAGGGTGGAGAGCAACCGAACCACATGGGGAGAAGGGGCCACCACCAAGAAGACCCTTTTTTTGTGGTCCTACCAGATGGCAGTCTCTAATTGATGGGACCCGTAACATGCTCTGCCTTCCCACTTGACTTGCCCATGTGTCACCTCTGCACTGACTGCCAGTTTGCTTCCGGGTACAACTCAAGGTGCTGTTGATCACCTTTAAAGCCCTACCTGTTCCTGCCAGGGAGCAACAAAGGTCAGCATGAAGTGTCTTTCTGTTCTTAACATCGCTGTCGTGGACCTGGAAGAGGGACATTGTTTGTGCCTTCAGATGGCACCGGCACCTTGATCTTTCCTGGAAGATCCTGGCTTGTGGCTATTGAAGAGCAACTAGCTTCTTATTGAAGCATTCTTTGGTATTTGTCTACTCATCGTCAATCTTGGCTAGAACACACATTTCTCTTTTACATTCTTACCTCCTTTCGTTGCCTCAATGGTGGTGGGATTAAATGAGCTGTGATGTTGGAGACTGGCAATGAATTCAGCTGCATTTTGCTGCAAACCTTTTATCCACAGGTTTATGCTGCCAGAATATGACCTGGGTGTGGAGTACACATTACAGGCCTTAGCAAAGCTTTTCTTTCCTCATAAACATCCAGGCCACTGGGTCCGATCCTTTTGTGGTGCAGGTCTTCCAATTAAAGCACCATCAGTGGATGGCTGCCTAACCTCTGCAGGTACACACACTCAGTGAAGGGAAGCTGTCAGTTCTCTGAGTCAGTTCACTGTCCAATTGCTGGGGTTTTTTCATAGTATTCAATTGGAATCTGAATTTCTATGACTTATTTCAGACTTACTAACCTGCATTCTGAAATTAAACAAGTCCCGGGCTGCTTCTGTATAATATTCTTTGAGAAATTTGAAGACCTATTGCTTCTCAGTTTTCTCAAGGCTAAGTATAGTCAGGGCCTTCAATGTCTGTCTGTCTATGTCTGTATCATCTATCTATCTATCTATCTATCTATCTATCTATCTATCTATCTATCTATCTATCTATCTATCTATCTATCTATCTACCTACCTACCTACCTACCTACCTACCTACCTACCTACCCACCCACCCACCCACCCACCCACCCATCTATCTATCAATCTATCACTAACTAGCTAATTAACTAACTAATAAGTAAGTAATATGCCAACCATCTTGCCTAGAGGCAACGCTAGGTGGCTTACGATCAATAAAAAGCAAGATAAA